GCCGGGGCCGCTCGTCCCTCTCTTGCTTCGGGGGCTCGGCGGGGGATCTTCGCACCGCCGCTGAAAGCGCGCTTCCCGGGCTTCGGAAGGCGCGCGAGGATCCGGCGGGGTAGACGTCTCCGCCAGGGTCGCTGCCGTCGGCTGGCGGTCGGGGTCTGTGCCGTGCCTGGTGCCTGAGGCTACTTTTTCTTTGTAATATTTTTTTTATTGAAGTTTATATAAAAGCTAATGCAAAACTAGAATACCTGCAGACTAAAGGAAAAAAAGAAAGGAAAGAGAAAGGTATATAAAAGATGGCTTCTCCCTCCCCCGTCCCTCCCTCCAAACAACAGTAACTTAACACCTTCTCTAATACTACAGAAAAAAGTCCTCTTCATCCTTCTTCTCATCCCTAAACAATAACCAAATCATAAAAAATATTCAACAATCAATCTAATCAGCAAAAGCAGTAAGAGTGCCAATGATAATAAACTATATATTTTAAGCTTAAACAAATAGGTTTATTTCGCATTTTAACTTCTACTTTTTTCTAAAAAATAAAACATAAAAGATCTCTCCCCTTAAGCATGTGAAAGACCAATAATAATAACACATGTATTTTAAACTAAACCAAATAAATCACTTTTACAGGTATCGTCTTACAGTCCTGGTCAGAAAAAGAAAATTCAATATTAATTCAAGATCAAAACTTGTACAAGTTAACCCTGATCTGATAAATCCACTTTGAATTCCTCTCTCTTCTTTTTGAAAGGCTCAGTCTTCAATCTCTTCTCCAGATAAAGTTCCTGATAGTAATATCTCATCATTTCTATTTTCAGAAAAGGTCTATTTTCAGAAAAGGTTTCAGAGATTGGTGTTTTCCTTCTGGGGATCCAAACTCTCAAAGTCACTCTTTTGATCCATTACAGTTTCTTTCTCCATATCATTCTCATAATCAAGCAACTTGAGTCCATCTTCAGATCCATAGCATCTTTTTCCATATCTTCCATGTAACCTCGCATTTCTTTAAAGTCCATTTTAAAGTCTTCATTCAAGATGTCCTCAACTTCTGTTTTATCCAATGAAATCTTTTCTTCTACAACCTCTGTTAGTCCCAATTTTAGAAATAGTTCCTGGACACACTGATTCCAAACACCTAAAAATTCTTTGAAAGAAGGATATTCCTCCATTGTGTTAAAAGATTTCTTTTCCTTTAATTGCTCTCTGGTTCCCTCTGGTTAACCTTCAACCAGCTCAGTCTTATCTGGTGTTTATTTTCAGAAGCAAAACTTTCCCAGGATAGATTATTTTGCAGTTAAATCCAAACTCACTGTATTTAAAACAATCCTTTAAAAAGCTGTTTCAAATCCATCTAACCTCTTAACTGTCCCCAATCAGCATTCTTAATTCCCTTTTGCTGTTTCCAAAAGTTAAAATATTTCTTTTTGATCTTTCAGGAGGTTTTTAATTTCCAAGTAAATCATGAATAGGCAGTTTCCAATGTTAATTAAATGAGGAAGTGAAAGCAAATCTAGTGTCCTTTTGAAAGCTCTGCACCATGACTTGGGCTTGATGTTTCCTGATTTCTTCACAGGGAAAGAAAGTAAGGAGTGCCTGTGGGTGCTCCTTTCATCTCTTTCACCTGGAGATGTTTCCAAAGAGCTGATACAGTTATCAGCTCCTCTAATTAACGCGGGTGTCAGTTGCACAAAAACAGAGCGGTATTCAATCCGCCATTTCTCCCACAGAAGTGCTGCAAAGCTACATTAAGGCCATCCAGCCAGGTTAGATAATTTCCCTTGGCCACAGGAACCCGATCGCTCTCCCATGAGTCCACCAGGAGTACTGCCACCTCAGAACTCGCTGCCACCCAGTAGTTGTACACATAACGAAAGACGTAACTCAGACTCCCCTCATCCAGCCACCGGGGCCACACCACACTTTGGCTGTCGAGAGATCAGCAGCTGTTCTACCAAGGCCAAAGTCAAAGAGTGCATGTGGGCTCTGCGTTCCAACTCTGTGCTCTGGCAAAGACCATTCACCAAGATTGTCAAGATGGTATCCGCCTCCTGGAGGAGGTCCCAGACTTCCTATGGCCAAATTTGTTTAACTAAATAACTGCTACATTAGGGAAAGGGAAGTGGCACGCCAAACAACCCCATAGCTTCAGTAGGTGGATGATCTCCTTACCCAGCGAATCCACAAAGGCTCCCTGCATGGCTGACAAGAGTGTCTCATGCTCCCTGAACCAAGCAGCTCAAATGGCTGACTCATGAGTGTTTGTACTATGTGAGACCAACTCACCGGCCTGCAACTGTCTGTGAAGCATGTGACCACTCTCCTCCCACCCCTTGTAACAGGGACCAACCCTGCAAAGGGGAATGATCTTGGACACGCTCTGCACTGACCATGTCTGGGCAGTGACTGCTCAGAAGGCTGCCCAACCATCGCCCACCTAGCCTAGCCTGCTTCAATCCAGCCTGGATGTCCCTCCTCCCAACCTCCTCCACCTGGCCCATCATCCCATCCTGTGAACCCAAGCAAAGAGAGTCACTCGAGGCACCCCATCCCACAGCCCAAACCCAGGAAGGTAAGGGACCAGGCATTCCCATCACCCAGACCTCCTCTGGGAAACACCACCACTGCTGCTGGGGATCCACCACTGAGACCCCTGCAATGGAGTAACATGTAGAGGAAGGCACCTGCTCCAGAGCAGGATTCCCCCCCATCCCTGCTCCTGGCTGGACCTGTGGGCTATCTTCTCCCTCTCCAACCTCTGTTCCAGCAGACAAAAGCTAGAAGCCTGCATGAGCCACTGCAATGGTCACCAAGTCAGACCCTGACAAAGACACAGGCAAAGCCTGATTATGAATAGTTGGGTCTGGAGAAAGAAGCACAGCTGCAGCAATCAGAGGCACCTGACTGCTGCCAGCAGCAAGCAAAGCCTGCAAAGCCGGAGCAGGCTCTGAATCTCCTTTCTTGTGAGTAACCAAACCACACAGCCCTCTGGAGGGGAGAATGAAGGCATCCCCCCTTGCCCCAAATTCACTGCTACCTCCCTATTAGCCACTCCACCCCTCCTCCCTTCCAAAAGGCAGATACCATGCTCCTGCAAAACAACCCTGGAAACAGAAGAGAAACAAGGAGAAGCCATAACGAACAAAACAAAGGAAAGAAGGGGTGGCGAACAAAGGCAAGACACCAAACATAGCCAAAAAAGAAAGAAGGGAAGGTGGGACACTCCCTAGAAAAAGCCGCCTCGGAACCCCACCAAGAGAAAAGGCAAAACACTGAAAAACACAAGAAGAAAACTTGAAAAAGCAAACACGAAGGTGCACACACAACCTGCTCAGAGAGGTTAGGATTAGGTAACCACATCTTTTTTTTTTAATTAAAGAAAGAACCCTTCGTTGTTGTTCAGTCGTTAAGTCGTGTCCGACTCTTCGTGACCCCATGAACCATATTGCGCCAGGCCTTCCTGTCCTTCACTGCCTCCCTGAGTTTGCTCAGTTT